TATATATATAAACTTCACTTACTTCCTGGAGCACCTTGAGGGCTTTAACATGTCTGTGGGTAGATAAATAAAGCCACAATTCAGCAGGATAGTACTGGGAACGAGACTGCTTTTAGCAGATATAGTTAATAAGAAATAATATGTTAAATAGGAAACTTACGTTCTCTCTGAATCCACCAGCTCTTTGACGATGTAAAAGGCTCTGGATCGACCGTCAGACTGTAAACAATCATATTATTTACTTGGAATAAGCCTCATGTTGGGAGAAACGAAAGCATTCTGGCGCAGGTTCAAATGTAGCTGGCTCACCACTCAACATCATCTCCAAGCAGCAATCAAATTCTAAATAATGAGGACAGCCCTGTAGTAGCCCATTAACCTCCATTAACCTGCATTAAAATGCTGGCACTGGAGGGCATTTTTGCAGTTGGCCAAGGTGAAAAAAAACAGTTTACCCTGTGTTATGTTACTCCCTTCTTACAATACATCTTCATTTCTACAAGTCCTTTGGAGGAAAGGTGACTTCTCTGTAAAAACAATTAAATAATTAAGTTTTATTTCTGAGGATGGAGGGTTTTCTAAATAAGAGTAGGTGAATAAAAGGCTTAGTGAATGGGGACTTCTAAGCTAAGTATGTTATGGACAAGATATTTAACATTTTGTTGTAGAAATCTGTTATTCTACCTATAAAACCTTTTTTCTCCCCTCAGTGTGCCTGTAAGGAACCCAACCTGTCTGTCATAGTTGTTTTCTGTCACTGCCTCGTCTTCCTCAGAGGTGCGTCCTTGGTCTTCTTCACCCATTGTCTTTCTCACATCTTCACCCACCGGATTAACCTGTGGACCAGCTGCCAACGCACACACGTTGTATGCTTCTGTATAGGCACTGTGGGAAGCAACAAAAAAAAGGAGTGGCTGGTGTGAAACAAGGCAGCGCGCTGGATATACAGTCCAAAAAATGCTGCAGAGTATATGCACACTCTTAACAATAATGACGAAAATTCATGTAGCATTTTATTGGTTTCTTTTGCACTGAATTTGGTAAAATGGAAGTAAAAATTTCAAAAACATGTTTAATAATATCGCTCTTGTTGGCTTATTTTTATGAGGCTGTACCTCATTTGGTTTCTGGCTCATAACACTGATGTAACAGCCTCATAACTACTCTGCCTAATTTACAGTTTTGATTTGTTGAGAGCAAAAATATTTTCAAATCACACTTTTGCCTGGTAAAAAGGATACAGAGACTTATTTCATCTCAAATTCTTCCACAGGCCTCATAGTATTACGGACTAAATTAAGTAAATGTGGGGTATTATTTAAGATGGACAATAGTCCAGAACGTAAGGGTTTTATGAAGATATGGAGAGCAGAACTTTAGCACCTTAACATAAATACTGAATACAAGGACACAGAGCTAACGCCGAAACAAAATAATATTTGCCAAGGAGCATCTTAAAGCTCACTAAATACGACATTTTAACCTATTTAATCCACAGAAAAGTGATTGCTGTGACCAAAACATTCCAGCTGTCTCTGCTTTTTGACTTACAAAAAGTCTGGCTAAACTTACCTACCTTCAGGATCCGTAATTGTTTTCATCATTAATCGACAAAAATCAAAATATGTGGGGAAAGTGCTTGTTCCTTCTTATTCCTTAATAATAATATATCCACAGACACTTTGTTATAGACACTGGTTCAAATGCTCAATAATGTAAATATCCAATCAGCCAATCACATGGAAGCAACAGAGTGCATGTAGACATAATCAAGATGACCTGCTAAGGTTCAAACTGAGCATCAGAATGAGAAAGAAAAATGATTTAAGTGACTTTGCATGTTGTTGGGGGTTTTTTTCGGTGTCTGTTAGTCAGGCTAGTCTGAGTATTTGCCTGATCTTAACCAGGACTATAATGATGTTAAATAGCGTGTTTCTAAGCGATTTGAAGAAAAAGAGCGAACATGTGTAGATGGAGTCCAGACGGTTCTCATATTTCCTCTTTTTTCCGAGGTCGTCATTTAGGAACGTGGTGGGTAGCCGAAAACGTAATATGTTGACGATTTGTCACCTAGCGTAAAATGTTACGCTTCGGGAGTGAGAACGTGTTGGTATTTTAGACACTGCTGATCTACTGGGGTTTTCCCGCCCAGCTGACTTCTGCATTTACGAAGAAAGGTCCAGAAAAAGAGAAAAATATCCACTGAATTGCAAAAGTGCATTTTGATGCTAAAGGTCAGAGGAGGTCAGACTGCTTAAAACTGATAGGACGTCTACAGTAACTCAAAAAACACTAGTTATGAAGTTATGCTGAAAAGCATCCCTGAATGGATGAAATCATTAAACCTTGAAGATGATGGGTTACAGCACCAGAAGACCACACAAGGTGACACTCCTGTCAGCTAAAAACAGGAAACTGAGGCTATAATTCACACAGGCTCACCAAAATTGGACCACAAAAGATGATTTTGGTTTTGATTTCTGCTGTAAGCTGCTGCTGAAAGCATGGATCAATCCTATCTCACATTACCAGTTCAGGCTGATGGTGGTGGCGTAATGATGTGGGGGTTAGTTAGCACCTTTGTGTTTTGGTAGATCTAAAGACACCCTTCATGGATGTGCATCTGTCAAATCTGCAGCAACTCTGTGACGCCGTCAATGTCAATATGAACCAAAATCTCCAGCACCTTGTTGATTCTGTGCTGCAAAGAATTAAGGCAGTTCTGAAGCTAAATGGGAAATCAACCTTGTATTAGCATAATGTACCTAATAAAGTGTCTGGTGAGTGTATATTGCATCCCCTTGTTGAAAACCACTACTCTAGCCTTAAAATGTGTCATTTCATTTTTCCCCCACACTTTGACCAAGTGATTCTATAATATGAGCTTCATTCATGTGAGAATAAATCAGATGAATTTTATTTAACCATTCAAATCATCTTTATGCTTCACATTGAAATATCACTATAATAAACATAGTCAGTGTTAGAATTAAATGTGAATAGATAAAACATTGCAGGTCTGCAAAAGCCAATAAACTGATTCTGAAAGGCCCGCGGTGACAACTGTACCCGATCAGGGACACATGTTGGTATTTTATGCTATGAGATTTCCTTCTGCGGGGAGCCCAAATGAATATGCTAATGTCTGCCGCTCAGCGGGGAATGTAAGCTACGCAAATAACAACACATCCTTAAAGTTACAGTGGTGATGCAGTAGTCCTCTACGTGACCAGATAATTGCTTTGCCAATCTTCCTGCCATGTTTCACTCCAAGCACCGGTGGATTAAATCCCACTGAGATGCAAATTAGCTACATATGAACAACATATGTGAGCAGTTCAGATCTCTGCATCACACACATTAGAGCTGCATGGCCCATTACTGTTTACTAGATCAAACTTTGAATGAGATACCACAAAACTGCACGGACAGTCTCTATATTAGGCTTTTAAATCACTGCCAAAGAAACTGCCTCCGTCTCTTCACACGCTCCTGCCACAATGTATGACGTCTCAAGGCAAAATGTGCAGCGATAAATTACAAGAGATAAAAAATATTGTTTCTATCTTTTTCCTCAAGCAAGGTTCCCAATGAAAGCTGACTGGAAAAAAGACACCAATTATCTCCAAACTATCTGTTAATATGGCTCCTTCAGGCTATTGCAAAATTAACATCCTCAGCCTCTAACTCGACTGTCCATTTGGAGAACTGTGATTATGCTGGCTTTATTCTGTAGAGGCTGAAACACCGTGCAGAAATCATATTCATGCCACTGTTTGTTTAGGATTAACATTAAAAGGTCAATTAAGCAATAAATTAGTCGTGCATAAAAATAATAATTAAAAAAAATCAGCAAATAATTAAAAAAAAAAACTTATTCATTAATTATTTTAAAAAGTTTTATTTCAATCCATAAAATGAAAAAATCTTGTTACTGTAGCTTCTTAAATTTGACAACTTTGCTGATTTATTGAGGTTGTAGCTATTCACTGTTTACGTAGTATTTACGATGGAGTTTTGTTAAATACTTTGTTTTTCCTGTTTTGCTTTGACAAATAAGGCTCAACTGGATTAAGTAGATTATTAGTACTGTCATTTTTAAAATCGTTGTTGTTTTGAAAGGGAACTTACATCTCTGACCCTACTAGACAGCAGGAACTGGAAGGGTTTATGGGTTTGTTATAAACCCCCTTTGTAAGAATTGAAAGGGTGATGATTCTTTAAAAATAATTATTATACATTCAGTGTTAAACTTTAAGCATTATATACATAGCTGACCATTTTTTCCCAAAATAATTTTTCTCTTGAAACAATTTTAACGTTACACGAGTCTCACGTTAATTTGCCTTTTCCAGTTAATTTGCTTTTTATGCACCTTGACCCTGCAATTCTATCATTGTTATTAATTATTAATTTACATCTTAGCACTAGCATCATCATTATTATTATTAACATTATTAGTGTTCATTTTGTAACCCTTTCTCTTTCTGTCTCCAAAAAATCAAGATGGTGACGATTATATTGTCAAACCAGGGGGGCAACCTCTGTGTATGAAATATGACGTCAGCACAGAAGTGGCAAAAACTGCAGTTCCTCAAGACAATTCTTAAAGCTTTCAGCAAAAGACAGTCAGCCCCTACAGGCTCACACTTTAAAATGTCCAATGTTGCAGGACAGAAAAACACATTTACAGCCTGGTACTAAAAACAGTTTCAGCATCTATGGATAGGCAGCTGGAGCCAGTTGGGTAGGCCTCATCCTAGTTCAAGTCATTAAACTGGACCTCCCAACTGTGTGTGCATTTGTGAGTGTCATGTTTGTACTGTTTGAGCACTTTTAATATGTTATCTGACTGATATTTAGCTTTATTGTTAGATAGACCATTACAGAAGTCTGTGCTTAATTAGCTGGTATTACCTGGTACAGCTTATGAAAGTAGCTTGCTCACCATGCTGGCTATAGTGGTAACTTATACCATCATTTATCCATATAAGGGAATGTCTGGCTCCAAATAACACAGCAGACAAAAATGCTAATGTTGAAGCTTCAAAATGCAGAATTTCTAAGTTACAGTTATAGAGTCAGGGTGGCTATGTCTTTTATACTGTCTGTACCAAACACGAGGCTTCACAACAGGACGTTATGGAGGTATCTTTTAAATAAAGTCTGTTTTTTTAATTTATTTGTTGGGTTTCAGCCTTTACTTTGATAGAACAGTGGCGAGAAGACACTGGGAGAAAGACCAGGGCAGAAGACATGCAGTAAATGGCTGTGGGGCATAATCCAACCTGGGCCTCTATACTAGGCTTATGGCATTTGGGCCACTTGTTCAAATCAGTGAGCTAAAGCAGTGTTTGTAACCATGAAAAGAGAAAGCAGCAAATGCTCTGGTTTTTCTGTTTGTGTGCATAAGTTACCTGCCTGGTCTTTGCTTGAAATTTATCCCTTAGGTCATTTTCACATTTCTTACTTTTTTTTATTTGTCATTATTTTAAAAATAGTTTGCATTTTTTGGCCAAAATAAAGATTCTTGATGTAGCCACCTTGGGCTCTTCAATATTGTCTTTGGCATTTTCACAGTTCTCAAATGTGTAGTAGATAAACAGGTTAATTTACTCTATTAACTCACGCTGCAATACTATGGGGAGCCAGTGTGTGCACATGCAAGTGAGCACAGTGTCCATATGAAAAAGCTGGAATTTAAACAAGTCCCTAAATAATAGTATCCATGTGTAGTTTAAGGCACCAGAAAAAAAGTTTGCCCAAACCAGAGTAATAATGATATGCTCAGCCATACAACATGTTCACATGTTCATCATCAACTCAAGGTGTGTGCAGGTTGATTTATTGATGTAAAACATAAAATATTTAAGTTTATAGACTGTAAAAACTTCTTGTGAGGAAAATATATGAAAGGATGAAGACAGCAAGCTGTTCATTGATGACTAAGAGTCAGAAGTACACCTGCATGTTTTCCAATGGTTGATTTTAGGAGTTAATTTTCATAGAAATGATATAGAGTATAAAATACAACGGTCTGTGTCAAACCACACTGTGTCAGCCTCTTCAGCAGTGTATTATAAGCCCTGCTGTACAGCTTTGTTTGCACATATGGTATAACCTAAATGGTGAACATGAGGAGAGGGAAGCTCTTTGGTGAACAACTGCTGACTACAGAACACACTGAGATTGTATCACCGCCTGTTGTTTCTGAATGGCTAGAGACGAGCAATGACTCCAAAAGACTGACTATTAATCATCGTGGACAGCCTGTATGATATGGGCACAGCTAACAGGAATGTGGGGGTGGGGGGTAAGGGGGAGGTGGGTTACAGTCAGAGCCGCCTGGCTGATCATACAACAAACAGCATCCCACTAGAGACACAAGAGGCTCTGCCTACAACATCAGCCCAAAAGGACCCCATTTTCTGTACCTAAAGGGATGATTTATGAATGAAAACAGCCCGTTTTCAATTACATCTTAAGCCACTACCCCTACACCAGCATTTCCTCTTCTCCCACTCAACAAGCCATGACAAGACAAGTTTAGTCTTACTGCAAGGTAAGAGGTAAGCTTCCTCTTTACATACCTGCAGGGATCATAGCATCAGGGGTCTCTATATAACAAATAATGATAATTCCAAGGACATTATTAAAGTGACCATGAAGTAATAAAAAATGGTAGTGGCAGGAATCACTAATATGATGCACAATTGCCATGCGTGTTAGCTGTTTGCCTTCTTGGTCTTTTAGTAAGACACTCCACTGCTTTGGTGCTGATGGATTTATTGCAAAAACTCTGGGATGGACAGACATAAAAATTGTTGCAGAGATTCATAATCTCAAGACGGTGAATCCAGTGTGGAGCCCTAACTTAGATAACATGACTTTCTTCTGATAGCATCAACACGTCAAATTTGAATTGCATAAAACCTTGCGTGTGATGTTTAGTGGTAATAAGCAATTACCAAGACAACATTTTAAACCAACATTGTTATTGTTTTTAGCAATGTCATCATTTAACTCAAGGCAGTGCTACAAGCTTTGGTTCATTTACATACCTTTCTGTTTCCTGTTCAAGTGACTGAGTTTTTTTCTCAAACCCAGGGAGGCTGCTCATGTCCACATAACCATCTGTCTCATTGGCAGCAGACAGCACTCGACTGGGACGGACAAAGAAGTCTGTGAGAGGTATCTGCCGAACAGGCCTCCGCTGCGGCACCTGAAGGTTCTCGTAGTCTGAACTGATGGCCGGAACATTCTCGTAGTCAGAGGTATCTGTGTTGGGGACGGAGATGGACCGAGGCTTGGTCAGGGGGAGAGGAGTGAAAGGCACACGAGAGCGATCCTCGAAGGACTCCACCCGGACAACGCTGCGATTGAGGAAGGCCACAGTGTTCCCTTTCCTTCTGCTTTCCTTGTAGAACAGGAAGGGAGAGGCCGGCTCAGGTGAAACTTGTAGTTTGCTGACTGAGCGTGAGTTCAGCTGCGGAGAGCTGTTTATGCTGCTTCTATCTAAATCCAGCAGTCTGCTGGGCGTACGGTGGCTGGACTCTGCTGAGGGCTTAAAGAACGATGGTTTGACATCGACCGCGGGCTTGTTTTCTGTCTTCCGCCTAAATTTAAGCATGAGAAAGCGCTTAAGGGAGGACTTCTTTTTCCTGTTTTTCTCTGATGAGTCCCCCTCAATGAGAAGGGAAGGAGAACTCTTTGTAATAGGCCTCTTAGTGATGTAGGCCAGCTCAAACGGAGGAGGGATATCCACTGCAGATGTAGGTGTGGATAGGGCACTGGATGAGAGAGGGGAGCGCCTGGAGAAGCTTTCAGATGAACAAAGGGCACCTCTCTGTCTAGGAGATCCTTCCCTGTAGACACACAGAGATGAGTCTTGGCCCTCCATGGACAGGGAACGGGGGTACAGGGACAAATAATGGGGTTTTGAGTAACTTTTGTGCCGTGTTGAGTTTAACATGGGGCTGCTGCTCATTGCAGGTTGTCCAAATCCACTCATGTAGGGCTTCTGAAGAAACTGCACTCCTGTATCCTCCACTTTATTAGTAATGCGGTGTGACAAAGAGTGGGATCGAATCCCGGTCACTTTCCTATCAAAAGGAAAACCATTTTCCGCATACAAACTTTTCCCTGGCTCCTCGTATAGATGCTCATCGCTGATGTCCTGCTCTGTGTCAGTGGTGTCATCCAGAAAGGGCACAATGTGGCCCTCCGAGTCATCGTCGTCTCTGAAGACATCAGAGTCGTTTGGGGACAGGAGCTGGCTTCCTGAGCATGAAGAGGTCAGCGAGGTATCGGCATCTGTTGGTACTGAGATGGATATCTGCCTGAACCTTGGCTGGAAGTACAAATGATTTAATACGTCTCCCACTGCATGAGAATTATGCTCTTCAGTTTTGACAGGCATCCTTTTCGGACATATCCTTACCTTGTTTTCATGAGTGCTGTTAATGTAATCCTGAGAACCCAAACACTCCGTTTGTATATTTTCAGCTGTTTCCTCATATTTCCTGGCTGATACTCCATGGCTGTTTAAAGAAGAAACGGTACTTTGTGTGAGTGCACTCTCTAGTGGTCCACAAGTTTTGTCTTTCCTTGGCATCAAGTCTCGGTTTATAATGTCCTCCGAAGAGATGTAAAACGGCTCATAACCTGGATCGCCTTCTAAGCCAGTGTGTCTCTTAGCTGCACCAGAGATCTGTTTCTGGTTGTCAGGAGTGAAGTCATAAAAACGGGTGTGCTCTTGGCTTTCACCTTTTTCTTTAATCTTAGGGCTACACCTCAGCTTTAGGATGTTACAAGTGAAACCACAGTCAGAGACTGGTTCTACTTTCTCTTCATCTTCTGCTAGAAAAACACGCTTGTCATCAGCCTCAGTTGTGGTTTCTTCACCCAGGACATCAGGTTCATCTGTACAAGACTCAGTTAGATCATCTGCTGTATTTGCATCCTCTTCAATTTGGCGCTGGTTCTTGTTCAGGTCTCGACTTTCACCAGAATAACAGCCTGCCTCCTCATCGATGCTGTTAACAGAAAAGTCTCCCACAGAGATGCCATCTGTGTCGGCCAGCGCCTCACCTGCATCGCAACCTTCAGCATCCATGTCCTCCGTCACGTCTGTGTCAATCATCTCCACTGCCTCCTCCGAGTCAGCCGTGGGTCTAGCATCACTGATCCAAAGTGTTTCCAGGGAATCAGCTTCCTCTGTCACAGCACTGTCAGTTAATCTCCAGTCCTCATCCATCTTCAGAATCATATCTTCATCTTCGTTTTCCTCCTCTGTCACATCTCTGTCCTCCAGCCCATGTGACCCCGATGGTGAGTCTGTTTGTGGTGATTTGAGGATGTAAGAGTTAAATTGTTGCTCCGTTGGCAATGTGTCTATACTTGCTTTGTTTAGACCATTCTCTGTCTTGTGCTCCTCATCAGCCTCACCATCTGAGGTTACCAGGCTGCCATTACTGCATCCTCCCTGGCTGCCATTTACCTCTGATGCGACTTTAGGTTTTGGGGCTATAGAAGGTTTAGGACCCCTGGCTGCAGACAGAAGGGGGGACAGCTTGGCGTGACAAACAAATCTTGGCTTGGGAGCAACAGAGGGCTTGGTGCAGTCTGAAAGAACAACAGGAAAAGGAAACTGTAAGATTATGTGCTTTAAAATAGATTGCAGGTCATTTGCATTGTTTCACTGTGACCTAAAACTGATTAAAGATTCACAAATGATAAAACTTTGAACCGTGTGTAAGAGTCATATTTAGCTGTGCACATTTTCTTCACAAAATCTGTAGAATATTTCTTTGTAAAAATATACATATTTCCATACATGAAACTGACAGTACAAACCAAGATAGCTCCTCCAATTGGTACAGCTTGGTGGTGTAAGATTATAATAAAAAGATGCTAAATTAGTAATGTATACTTTGATATTCTTCAAGAAAGAATTGAAGGGAATTCCCTGATTCACTTCCTGTGATTCAAGCGAGAGACACTCCTGTCAGGCTGCCTGTACTACTTTAAGAACAATAGGTCACTTTACATGTCGCAAAGGACAGTGCTAATAAATCAGCACATGTACTTCACGTGTATTCAATACATGAATTATATCAATACATTATGCAATGCACAATATCTATATAAAGGAAGTGTTAAAATTATGACAGTTGCCTATAAATAGAAAACATGCAGTTAAAGATTGATTTGAAGTTTTCAAACCCCAAGCGAGCTTCATTTTTGCTAAAGCGCTCTCTTTTCTTCTATATAACCAACACCATACTTCCTTGTAAAATCAAGAAACACTGGGTAAAGGCACACTTTGATTTGCTCCATATCCTGTTGCTACAGCTGGAGTCATTCATTTACGAAGAAAGGAGCCAAAGTGAGATATACATATATATATATATATATAGCTTTAAAAAGATGAATCTGTAAGATATAAGTAACTGTAAACTTCGTATGTCTTCTAATTTTCTAAAAATGTCGAAAGTGAAGCAGTTCGTGGCTCGAGGCAAATCGTCTCACCTGTGTTCATTTTTGGAAAGCGAGTATCTCCAACATCTCGTCCGCAAAATCAGTCAGGACACAAAAAGTAATAAAAATGGAGCAAACAGCAAACTCTGTTGAATAGTCTAAGCAGAGAGTGAGTGAGTGTGCCTCAACGCAGCCCTGCCTTCTGGGAGGGAAACGCTGCCCAGCTGATCGCTCGCTGGTGCGTCTTGGTGCGCGCCGGACGCGATTGGAAACTGGAATAAACCGCACTTGAGGAGAATCCCTGCACAGCAGCAGGTCCAGTCAAGTGTTGGAAATGTTACAGTCCGCCTACAAATGAATTTCAGCGATGATTGGTACTTTACTGTAATCAGTAAATATAACAGGGATGAGATTAAACGGAGTGATGTAGATGTTTTACGTAGACAGTCACTCAATTCATGTAAAAGAAACATAATTTAACGCCTGTTCACGAGGTGGACTACACACAAAAACGATAATTCTGGGAAAATCCCATAAAAGCAAAAAATGCCACACATATATACAGTATATATATATATATATATATATATATATATATATATATATATATATGTGTGTGTGTGTATATATATATATATGTGTGTGTGTGTATATATGTATGTGTATATATATATATATATATGTGTGTGTGTATATATATATTTGATGATATTTGTTATCATCATATACTTTCTTATAGTTTCTATTTTTAGCAGTTACAAAGTAACCAAATGTTAAACATTATCACGAGATAATAAAACATACAACAAAGTCATGGCTTGCAACTTATGGGCGTTTTTTAAAGTTGTTCTTGTGAAACTGAATGTTTGATTTATTAGTGTCAAATCAGAGCAATGACTGGATAATATTCTCATAAAACAGTTTTTCTTAGCAGCATAAAATATATTTGACATTTCAGAACAGCTCTCTTGCATTGATAAACCGGCTTTGTTTCCCTGCACGCCCATCTGTCCATCTGATTGCTGTACAACAGGCTCCTTTTTTGCACAACAGGAAGCTGCTCTCCCATGTTTCCTGCACAGCCCAACTTCACATCCTTAGCAGCCTATGGACATCATTTAACCCCTCCGTGCATTTTACTGTGACTCACCGGTGGTGAAGTAAGGGGAGTTATTTTTACTAATCAATTGTAGTCAGCTGGTGAAGATTTATAACACCAAAAATATGTGTGTGTTACAGCAGCAAACAGCAGGGTTAGGGGAGTGGCTCAGTGGGGGATAAGTCCAGCATGCGAAAAAGGGGGGAGTCAAGTAACAGCTGTTTTGACTCAAAAACACATAATTCACATCAAACAGAAAACAGCAAATGAATTGATCTCTTTTTCTTTTTTTTAAATATCCTTTTTTCATATCACAAAACATGAGTGAAATTAGATTACAAAATGCTAGAAAGGCTAATCCAGGGAAAATCATATGTAGTAGACTTTGTGTCTCAAACATTTATAATGGACATTTCCTTGGCTGTTATCCCATTGTACATATTTAGTGGGTTACAAGTGAGCGGAGAGTTTATGTGGCCATGCAACATAAGGATGAATAGCCTCACATTTGATATTCTTCTGCATCACACTTTAAGATCAAAAATCAGTCCCCCGACAATGCCAGTCAATCTTGCATGCATTAAGCTATAGAAAATATAATCTCTGATAACCCCACAATAGATGGTTTATCACAGCCCAACATAAAGCTTGAGATGCTCTGACGAAGAAACACAAAACTAGGCTGATTTCAAACAGTTGCCTAAATGAAAAGCACCGCAAATGTGCTGCTCTATGTGAGGCCGTGAATAGTCCTGTCATTAAGAGAGTGTTAGACTCATTACAAACATCATGTGGTTCCACCTTTGACCCTGATTTTGTTGGTGCAATAATTGTGTTTTCATATTGAGTCAATAAAGAGGGGAAGGTGAGCTCTAGCACCAAACAGTAATGACAGATCCGCTAAGAAAAACATGTTGAGGATGAGTGGGTGTTCTCACACACACACACACACACACAAACACGAGCGCACACAATAAAATAGGGTAAGGCTGGTGATGCTATTGTCAGTCTAAAGTACAGAGCTGAACAAACAATGAGTTAATTTGTCCCTCAGTACTTTGCAACTTCCCCAGTCTGTCGGCATCTGGCTGTTTTCCAAAACAGCTGGGCACAGCAAGTTTTTTTTTAACAAAAATTGAGCATAAAGAAGAAAAAATGGTGTGAATTTAGTTATGCTTGTCTCAGGATCATTTACACTCTGCTCTGATACACTATTGTGCACTAGTGCAAACTCTGTCACTAAAGTACCTTCAATAAGTACCTAAAATAATTTTTTTAATTGGATTTGTTTGCAATAAGAAGAAGATAAGCTCTCTCTAGACCTGCTCTTTAGGCATGCGGATAGGTGAAAAATTAAAGGATATCTTTGAATAAAGGAAATATTTCATCATAGGATAAAGGTAATTACTCTGAACAACTTTATATTGATTTGCAGTTAATCTCTCCTCTAAGAAGACAAGCCAGCAAAATACCCAAACACAGTATGACAAAGCCATTGTCGGGTTTCCGAGCAGCGTGCCCCCACCACTTGGTGTGCCCATTGTTACATCCATCACTGTAATAGTACATATATATGACAGATAATAAGAAATCACTAAAGAACAATGAGTACATAACCTAATAGAGATACAGGCTACACATGTCACGTTATGTTGAAAATACACAATAACAACTAATGGATGAGAAAAGCAGTTTGTTTACAGTGAGGATGGAGATAAACTCAGAGGTTCATCTCCATCTGTGTGTCTCCTGTTTGTGTCAGACAAGAAAAGAGTGCGTCTGCTCCTCTCTCCTGCTCTGAGGTAAAACAATAAGGCCGAGGCTTAAAAAGGGAACTCCATCTTGATCTACTCCTTCCTGTCACTGTTTTCAAGCCTTTCAGTGAAACTACACACAGGGTGTAGTCAACAAACGTAAAGGATAATTCAAGTTATTTTCAACCAGGGCCTCATTGTCCTACTTTTTATCAGCACTGAGAGGTTACTTGAGAGAAAAATGTCTCAAAACTAAAATCAGAAGGCAAATAGGTAGCTAGTATAATATCCACACTGATGGATAACTAACAGGTAAACTTTATTTTTGTACATCCAGTGAAAAATAAAGGCGCATGTTCAGTATCCTTGAAAAGTTTTGTTGACTTTTCTCTCTTTGGCAACACTGAATCCAGTAAACTGACAGGGTCTGATAGGATGCAGGAACAAACTTTTGTGTCATGGCGGTCTAATTTTAGTTTCCCTTCACATCATGACAAGGAAGAAAACACAGCTGGAAGGTTGTTTTTGTTCTTCTGTGAGAACTTTCATACAATAGTGTACAAGAAGTATACAATAGGGATAGTTTTTTTTACAAAGGAAAACTGTGAACATAAGGTTGTTGATGCAAAATTTTAAAACTGTCATTTCAAAAAAACAAAAGAAAAAATGAACTTAATTTAAACTCTGTCTTGAATATTTTGTGTGTTTCCTGTAATAAAATGTCAGTGTGTGTTTGCACGCAGAGGCCAAGTCGCTGAACTTCAGTAATAGCTCAGTGAAAACAAATATGCTGCTCCAAAAAAATTTAAGGAACACTTTTTAATCACAGTAAAGCATCAAGTCAGTTAAACTTCTGGGATGTTGATCTGGTCAGTTAAGTAGCAGAAGGGGGGGTCATTAATCGGTTTTAGCTGCTTTGGTGTTAATGAAATTAACAACAGGTGAACTAGAGGGGCAACAATGAGACAATTCCCTAAAAATGTTTTATAGTTGGAGGCCATTGCCATTTTTTTTCCTGCTCATATTTTCTGACTGTTTTTTCACTGGTTTTGCATTTGGCTAGGGTCAGTGTCACTGCTGGTGACATGAGGTGATACCTTGCGCCTACAGAGGTTGCTGCAGGATGGCACATCAATATATGCCATTGCCAGAAGGTTTGCTGTGTCTCCCAGCACAGTCTCAAGAGCATGGAGGAGACCATTTCTCTCAAGGAAAGCTGGGCAAGGCTGTAAAATCTGCTCCTTTGTGCAAGAAGGAACAGGATTAGGACTGCCAGAGCTGCAAAATGAGCTGCAGCAGGTTACTGGTGTGAATGTCTCTGACCACACAATCAGAAAAAGAAGGTCCAACAACCCCTAGTGGGCTCTGTGCCCACTGCCCCATAGAGCTCGATTGGCTTTTGCCATAGAATACCAGAACTGGCAGGCCACCACCGGCACTCTTTGCTTTTCAGAGATTAGAGCAGGTTCACCGCATGTGGCAAGAGTTTGCAGGCAGGTCCTAAAGGATGACAGAATTGATACCATTGATTGGCCCCCACACTCACCTGACCTAAATCCAGTAGAACACCTCTGGGACAATATATTTCATTCATCTGATAGTGCCAGGTTGTACCTCAGACTGTCCAGGACCTCAGTGATGCTTCCCACACTGATCATTTCATTTTTAATAAAACAATGTGGCATCCTTTCATTTCTAACATATTACCAAACCCATATCAGTGTAGATAGAGTCTTTTCCCACTGAGATCTGATGGGTTTGCAAAGTGTTCCTTTGATTATTTAAGCGTTGTATTTCCAGAAGATTTGCAACAAAGTGAGGAAAAAAATGAGAACAAATGTTCAGTGTTTCACACTAAATCAGATTACATCAGGCGTTTTGTTGGACTAAATCCGTCTGTGTCTATATTAGAGGGATACAGAGTATCTAATTTGCTTAATGTACAGAAAGAAATGTGGATATTTTCATAAACGCACCATGTTCTCTGCCCTATCTCTTAGTAAACAAACAGAAAAACTAAAAATCAAAGTCCTTAAAGCAATGCAACAATAAGTAAAAATCAATTTATTAACTAATTAATTAAATGATGGTCTCGTGTGGGAGTGAAACTCATGAAAAGTCTCATGGGTTGTGCCTCTCCCATATTTCCCCCTTGAATACATAAATTTCCTAAGAGTTTGATGTGGTTTAGTTCTATGAGTATTTCATCTTTAGGAAATAAGGATACATTTACCATTTACCCAAGTGGACATGGCGCCTTGTGTATCTGCTACATCAACTGACATCCTCTGAATTCAATTCAATTCAATTTTGTTTATATAGCACCAAATCACAACAACAGTTGCCTCAAGGTGCTTTATATTGTAAAGTAGACCCTACAGTAATACATGCAGAGAAAAACCCAACAATCATATGACCTCCTATGAGCAAGC